AGGGGAGCGGCTTCAGCTCACCCAGCCTGTGCGGGACCGCTGGGCTGAACTTGGTGCTGGCGACCTGTTATTGACTAAAACTGTTTCCTTAATGTTTTACTGAACGCCCCTCGGGCGGAGGGCGGCAGTTTGGCCTCTGGCTGGCAGAAAGTAAAGAGGATTTGCAAGGAGCTGAGAGCTGCTGCTTCAGAAGCTGTTCCAGCAGGAAGAGCTGTATGCTGGCTCTGTAGCTCAGCCTTTTAGACAACGGTGGTTATTTTGCCTGCAAGGAGCTGGGCTTGCCCCAGCGGGACCTGCTCTGAAGATTACCCGTATGTTTACATATCTGCTGGTATTTTAAATATGACAAGCAAACTACCTCTGAGCAAAAGTTTCCACTTACCTCTGCTTTAATAGTTGCCTTTTTTTATTATATTAAGTTAATATATATATTACATTAACATTAAAGTTCACTTCTTAATCTAATCCTTTGTGGAGTTGGTCTTTCAGTTAGTGCATGTTGTTCTGGGTAATAAATTTTGTTGGTAAGCATCGTGTTTCTGGCTGTTCAGGTAATACGAAGCTGACTGAGCTGACTGAAGTAGCTAAGATGTTGGTTCATTTTAAAAGCAGGGTTTGTTTGCTTTGTTTTATTGTTTGGTTTGTAATTGCATAAAGAGAGTTCAGTTTGGCAGCACAAGAATTCTGTATTTGTTGGATTTAACTTTGGGAAGGTGTTCAACTTAAGTAGCCTCATGCAGTCCTGCTTTTTCCAACCCCTTGTTCCCTGTCTCATCTACATGTATGAATGGATGGATTTATACGTACAAAGGTGCATACACCTGTTTCTGTATGTTGAACTTTGTCTGCTATTTTTGGGCTGTCCTAGTCCACAAAAAGAATGGACAAAAATCCCAGGGCTTTTCACATTGGGCTGGAACAAAAATAACTGCAACAGAAAGGATTTTCCAGAAAAAATTGAGGGAAGTATAAAAAAGTTCTGTTCTATATCACATATTTGCACAGTTCCAGGTGAAATTAATGAGAAATTGGCACATTCTGCACACCTTTCACAACCCAGAGACTTGGGAACTGTGTAAGAAGTAGCAAGTAGCTCTGAATTACCTTGAACTGAAAATCTGTTTTACCTATCTCATTTGTGACCCTTTTTGTTAAAGAAGTGGTTTACTCTGACAAACCTGTTCCCCAAGCAGGATGAACTTACACGATGCAAGAACTAATTTGGAGGCTGGAGGCTGGTCTCCACTGGAAAGCACATGTGTTGTCAATGGCAGTACCAATGTGCTAGCCCTCATTAAAATTTCTGCAAGATTTTTCTTTATTTTATTTTTTTTATTGTTACTTCTGAGATTGATTTAGGCTGCGTTGCTGTTTCTTGGTGAGGCTTTTGTTGTTTTGGGGTGGGTTTTTTTACAAGAATTTATGTGTTGACTGCTCTGGAATCTCTTCAGAGCATTTATCTTTTCTCTGCTTGTAGGATTAACAGCAGATTAACTATGATTAGACCTTTTGTTGTTGTTCACACATGGTGTTGAGTCATTTTCAGATCATCCAACTAAGGGATTGTATCTACATTCTGTATCAAGTACAACTCTGACAGTGCTTAATGTAGTGCTTGTTCAAAAAGTAATTTAGCTGCACTCCCTACTCAGAGTGCCCTCAGCAGGGACCTTTGTACCTTTCTGTTCTGCATAAAACCACAAAATAATCTAGAATCCAAACAGGAATGAAAAATGGCTCCTCAAAGACAGATTTCTTTGCTATGCACCTTGTTTTGTAGTATAGTATTCATCACTTGTGGGAAAGAAGGTGAGATGCATAAATCTGTTATTATTGCTGTTGGGGAAACAACTGCACTAACAAGTAGCAGTGTAGTGATTTCCAAATGTAGTACATGTGCCTGGAAAAGTATCCTAACAAACTTGATGCAAAAATTACTGGTTTTGTGAGATGAAATGATTTCCAAGATGATTTTATGAAAATAAAATTTTCTATCTTTCTTAAAAGGTACAAATCAAAAACTTTTTCTGAATTATCTACACAAAATATTTTTCAGATCTTGTTGGATGATAAATTTAGAAAATGTTTATGGTTTTGGCAGTTGCTGTTTGCTCTGAATTTAGTTTTTAAACTTTATGCTCTTGCACACTGAGCAAACTGTATCTTACCTGGTTCCAGTTGTCACTGGCAGAGACAGCTATGGGAGTGTTTGGCAAGGGGTGTCTGTCATTGCACAAAAGCAAAATGAAGACTGAAATTATTTTTTTTACCTTATGTGTTATTTAGGACAGGCTGGTGCTGAGCCAGAAGTGACTATTGCACTTGGGCGCCTCAAAGGGAGACAAGCAAATGTGAAAGGGACAGACAGACTTGTAAATGCTTTCCTTGGGATTCCTTTTGCAAAAGCACCTATTGGATCCTTGAGGTTTTCCCCACCTGAACCACCTGAACCATGGAATGGTGTGAGAGATACAACTTCTTACCCACCAATGTGAGAGCTGTTCTGTTTGTTTGCGTGTAGGACCTGGTCATGTTTGTTAGGGTACAGGGGTCTGATATCTGGCAAGGAATTTGTATTGGCTGTTAGCAAATACACTGCCAGTTCTGAAATATAAGAACTGTGTGATTAGGAACCATAAGAAATTCCTAAGAATTTCCTGTATTTGGAAAATACGTTTTCTCTTTATACTATGCTGAAATATTTCAGCTCTTTAAGTACAACTATAGAGCTCTGCTTTACAGGTCGCACCTCTAACTCTACTTAAGTAACACAAAGCTTGAGCACCCTGTGGAAAATCAGTCTGTGAGGCAAAACAAAGTGTGTTTTTCTTTATCATTGTTACATTGTTGCTATAGCAGTTTAATAGCTAATAGTCGCACTTCCTTTCTTTTGTGAAGATGTCCTCAAGATCTGTCCCTGCTGAAAACAGCTGAAAAAAACTTCAAAGAAAAACACCTTCCCTTCCAAACTTCTGAGGATTGTTTGTATCTAAATGTGTACAGCCCTGCTGGTTCAAGCAAGAAGGACAAGTTACCTGTATGTAAACCTATTGTACAAACTCATGCAGAGCTTGCACCCTCCTAAATCACTTAATTGCTTTTGAAGATGTGATACTGCGTTATCAGAAGTGATACTATTATGTAAAATTCAAAGTCCACCAACCTAAAGTTCAGCTCCCATTTTGCTTAAGTCATTTGGAGTTCCTAATTCTCTGATGTTGTCTTGCTTTTTCAAATGAAGTCTACCAAGCAATGTATAAAAGTGTGTCTCACCCTTTTGTCTCTAAGGTAATGGTGTGGATCCATGGAGGGAATTTTATATTTGGTGGTGCTGCTAGATATGATGGTTCTGCCCTATCAGCCTATGAGAATATTGTGGTAGTAGTCATTCAGTACAGACTTGGACTCCTTGGATTCTTCAAGTAAGATGGCTGTTAAACTTTTTACAAAATATTTCCTATCATTTTAAAAGCCTGGGTACTTTTGTTTTCTAAATCAGCTGAACTAACTTCCGTACCAACTTCCCACTGTTACAGTGGTTTAAATATACATATTGACTGACATCAGGACTTTAGAACATTTAGTAATGTCTTTAAATTCCATTTGCATTGTCATTTGAGTGTAGCCTGCCATCAAATCATAGTTGAGCTTATTTGGTTCTTGATAGGATTTTTGCCCTTGCCTTGACTTCCATCCATTGGTGTGTAAAGCAAAAAATCAGTGTAAATGCCAGGAATCCAGCTGTGTGGGGTGAACCAAAAGTAGAGGAAAGTCAGTGGGGCTAAGATCTGACCATGCAGGTCAATGAGCTTCATATATCTTTCCTTGGCCAAAGAAGACACTTGGCACAAAATATAAGTCAGTGAGGTTTATTTTATTCTGGTATTACAACTGTTGCTCTTTCTGAGAAGTTGGCTCATACCACTTTTCTTTCAGTACTGGTGATGAACACGCTCGTGGAAACTTGGGATTTCTGGATCAAGTAGCAGCTCTTCAGTGGATCCAAGAACATATTGAACACTTTGGTGGAGATCCAAGCTCTGTCACACTCTTTGGCGTATCTGCCGGATCTTGCTCTGTTTTTGCACATGTAGGCATGCAGTAGATACACTAAAAAGTAAAGTCTTTAAAAAATCTTCAGAAACTCAATTAGTGTAACATTTTGTACTTAATCTGATTTTTCAAAGTCAGATTAACGGCACATTAGGCTAAGTCAAAACACTTCCCCTGTAAACATATAAAAATGTGTAACTCCCCAGGGAATCCAGCAGTCTAGTGAAGCATAAAGTTATGGGATAAGACCTTAATGCAGAATAAATTATTTCCTTCTTGGCAGGTTTTGTCTCCTTTGTCTAAGGGTCTCTTTCATAAAGCGATATCAGAGAGCGGAATTCTAATCCCCAGTGAAAAAGATTTACGTGCTACAAGTGATCTTAAGGTAGGCTCTGTTTTGGTTTTTTGGGTTGGTTTTTTTTGCATTTTAAAGCCTTTATAACCTAAAATATGTTATTTCTTATATCTAATTATTTGGTTAAAAGAGAAAAGAGGAAAATCTGATTGTGTATTATGCAACAAAGATAAAATTCATTCTCATGATTTACCTATCAATATATAGGTTAGCACTACATAAATTTTCACTCAAATAGTGTATTTCTTTTCAATCTTACTGTGTTCTTTTGGTGTTGGAAATAGATTGTACAGTTACATGATTATAATATCTATGGGTCAAGGTAGGTGTTTACACACCTGCCAAGCTAGGCATATGTCCATTTTCATGCACACAGTAACTTATGAAATTTATTATTGAAAGTTTAATTAGAATCTAGAAGAGGCATTCAGTTTTTATTCAGCTACAGACTTTTATGTAGGGCCATTATTTTAAGTAAATTAATTTTAAACCCAAATAATTAATGAACCAATTAATTAAAAAAATACTAAATTCCTCTCTATAAATACCTCTTCATTTCTCATCCTGAAACAACAGGTAGTAGTAATGTAAGTCTCTCAAAAGTTGATTTTCTGAATTTTCTTGCCTTATTTATGTTACAACCTTGTAATATCTGTACAGCAAAGTTTGTTGTAGAAAAGTGAATGGAAATAGAGCAAGAAAGAGAAGTATACCAGAATGATTTCACTTTGTGATCAAACTGTCATGTTTCCAGTAAAATAAAATACTTTAATACCTTCCAGCTCACCTAAATCTGCCCTTAAATAAAACTATTAACAGTACTCTGTATAATAATTCTGTGTTTTTAAATTCCTTGAAGATCCCCTCAGAGCTCACAGTTCTTGTCTTTGTTAATAATTTTCAGAAAATTGCCAGTATATTTAAGTGTGACATGAGCAGTTCACTCTCCCTGATAAACTGCTTAAGGAACCAGGAAGCAAACGATTTAGTCTTCAAAAGTCCGGTAGGTGAAACTTCACTTCCTAACAGATTTTTTTAATGGCATGTTTGCAAAACAGCTCAATCTGACTAATCTCATGATTAGCCTGTTTCAAAGTCAATTTTTCCTAATTTTTGTTAAAACACTCCTGAAATATTGAAATAATTTCACAGTTTCTCTTTAGAATTTTCAGTTAAGTGTCTTGGCACCTGTAAAGTTGTAAGCAAGACTGGAGCACACACAAGTTTTGATGTCAGTTAGAGACAGCACAGGACCAGGGAACCGTTACTTTACTCCATACCATGATCCAACCAGCCTAGTATTTTATACTGTTGGGCAAAACTATGAATGTATGTTACAGTGGCTGTAGATACTCAGATTTCTTAAAGCTGCTTTTTTTTTGCACTTGGAACGTTAAATGTGGACATTTTATTCTGTGATTTGAAAGGAAAATGCAAAATACTATTAACAAGTAACATGATATTTTTTTCTCTTCCTGTAGGAAAACTCAGTTATACCTTTAGTTTTGGATGGAGTATTTCTTCACAAGTCACCTGAAGAGATATTAGCTGGAAAAGAATTTAATGCAGTCCCATATATGATAGGAGTCACCAACAGCGAATTTGGCTGGAATATAAGATCTGTAATTTAATGGCTATTCTTCATATTTTTTAGTTTTTCTGTTAATCGATGCAGACAGCTCTGATAAGTTCTTTGCTGTTAGGACACCTTTTATGTATGGCCAAAAGCCTTTGCATTGTTGCAAATGTATACAAGGTAAACTTTGCTTGCATTATGATTCTGTAGGGATGTACAACCACTTGGTCACAGAACAGTGAGACAGGCTTTATCCTGCAAGTTAAACTACCTGATGTCCTTGGAAAATTAATTTTATACAGTATTTTCTTATCCTAAAATTTTAATCCCTCATCCAGTCAGAGCAAAAAATATTCAACAGTCAAGGGCTAATTACTACAAGAAAAATGAAACCAGTCTTTTCCCCCACAACACACAGATGTTACACACACAGTATTCAGGATTGATATATTGAATATTTAAAAATGTGGCATTGGTCACCTTAAACAGCTTACCCTGTTTGTCATTATGAACTCTGAGTGCTGGTTCTATCAGTGCCCCTCTGTTCCTTCTTACCATGCAAAAAGATCTATTGGTTGAAAAGCTCAGCTGGGGACAGAGTTTGGGGATAGTGTGGTTGTCCCATCCATTCTCAGTAGAACTGGAGAACTCGAGGCAGAGTCTGCCAGTGACTTTTAAGATCTCCCCTACTAGAGGGAAAATAAATCTGTGGGACAGAAGAAGCTTTTCACTTCACTTCTGCCCTAATGCTTTCTAGTCTTATAAGTTTCTTAACAATGTGTGTGGATTTAAGGATAAGCTACTAAATGTGAGTGGTTTATGTAGAAACCTTCCCCAAGGAAACATTTACTGCAGTAAATACAAGCTTTTCAAGACAGCTTTTGCATCATAGAGCATTTCTGCATACAATATGATGCTTCAAAAATAAACACTAGTCTTATGAATAAAGTCGAATAATGTTCCAATTTTTTAAATACTGACTAATTTTAATGGTGCTAATAATATTCTTTTTCTTTTTTTTCTTCTCTGCAGACATCAAAAATTCCAGGTTTGAAGGAAATAGGAGATAAAAAATCAATCACTTCAGTTATAGAGCTTTTACTGCCAATGCTGGTAAGAACTGTTGCACTAATCTAATTTGGGAAGTGAAATTTCTTTTTCATGCAGATAACAGATTTGTGAAATGTGGTGTTCTCTAACTTCCTGCTTGAGTCACAGTTTTACTAAGACTTGAGGTCATGTTATGCTTTGGGAAGAGTCTCAGCAGAGCTGACAGGACTTTGGTGTATGGGGTTGCACAGAAGTAGGATTGTGTCAGGCCTGCAACTGGGGGAAATACCTTTTTCCTTCTAGATCCCTGAACCAATATTTTTATCTTCTGTGTTTGCATGTAGGGTTACTGTAATTGTGTTCCTAATCTTATGGTTTCTGCTGGCCAATCTCCTGGTTGATGGGTTTCAAGGCAGGATTGCTCAATATGTTTACATTAAATTAAATTTATATTTTAAGTAGTTACTTTGCATTCTTAGTATTTAAATGCAACTTTCAGGCAGCAAATTATAACATTAACGTGAACTGTGCTTGGAGATCCTATTGGTCTTGCCCTGTAATCTAACAGTAAATGTATTTTTCAAGGACTCAAATAATTTACTTTTGTTATTCCCATCTCCTGAAGAAAAACAGAAGCCAAAGGTATTATCAGAAGCAGTTGATAGATCTTCATTGATTCCTGTAGAGTTTTAACCCATATAAATCTGTTCCAAATTTGACCTGAGGTCATTGGCTTGGTTTGTTTTTTACTGTTGGGTTTCATTTGCCATAATGGTTTCCCATCAACATGGGTGCTGTTCTGGACCTTTGTGCCTTTGCGGAATCCCTAGAGTTTAAAATACAACATTTTTAGTTGCTAACTCTAAGAGTGGTAATTTGTCTTCTAGTTTCTTCTTTCCTCTTCTTCTCTTAGCTTATACCATCAGAGGTTTTGCCTGTGGTAGTGGATGAATATCTGGGAAACACAGATGATCCTGCTGAGCTGCGGGACCGATTTCTGGACTTGCTAGGGGATGCAGGAATTGTCATGCCATCCATTAAAGTACTGGATTATCACAGAGGTGAGCTAATGAACATCAGAAGGATGTTCAAGCCACTTGATACATGTTGGATCAAATTACACAAATTCTATCGTGTGTAGGCAGCCCTTCTTGAGATTCCCACTGGGAAGTTGATGGGAATGCAGAGAGAAATAGATCTGGACTGTGTGAGTGATACAAGTCTGCAGGATTGTGTGAAGCAAGTGTACAGACTCCTTTACCTTTGTGCTAGTGTCATGCACTTGCGCTCATAGTCATAATATAATGAGAGCAGAGCATGGTAAGACAGGTAAATGTTTGCTAATACAGGATTAAAATTAAAACATTAAAGCAACCTGGAATTTGTCCTTTGGCCCTCTGCTACTTAGGAAGTCAGCAGCTCTGCAGTCAAGATTTTCTGCTATTCAAGTGTAGACAAACCATTTCAAAATATTCAGAACTGGAAAACAGTCTGATGTTATTTTGTTTCCTGAGTTTTCCTGGGTAAATCTTTCTCTTTCTTTTTTGTTTTGTTTTGTGGTTTTTTTGTTATGTTTGTTTGGTTTGGTTTTGTATTAATTTTGGGGGGTTTTGGTTGTTTTTTGGTTGTTTTGGTTTTTTGCTTGGTTTGCTTTTATTTTGAGTGCTGTGAGTTCTTAGTTTTTAATTTAAAATAGAAATACATATTTGAATGTAACATTACATTAAAAATGTGTCCAGTATAAAAAATTTGGGCATATTTGAAATGGTATTTTAAACAGCTGATGTCAGCCGTAATTTTATGCATCTCATCTTTAACTCTCTACATGTTACATTTTCTAGAGTCTGGAGCTCCTGCCTACTTCTTTGAGTTTCAGCATCGACCCACTTCATACCGGGATAATAAACCAGAGTATGTGAAAGCTGATCATGGAGATGAAGTTGGCTTTGTCTTTGGAGGACCATTTCTGGCTGGTGAAGTTCAGCTACGTAGTAAGGAACAGAACATTCAATATTCACATACAAATTATTCTTGTAACTCTGGCAGTGTTCTGTCCAGTAGTGCTACTTCCATTTTAATCAAACTAAAGTGCATAAATTAACAGTGAGGCCAAAATATAACCCTTTCTCCTGATAGATTTTTTTTACACTGATTCACTGTCTTCTCCATTCTTTATAACATACAGATTGCTGTTTCTGAAGCACACTAAGTTACACATGTTGTCAACAATTTAGCAAATTTGCTAGAAAACATCACTGTCATTATACCAACTCTGTTCATGAATTTTCCAAATTTTTGGCTGAAAAATAAATTGAAGGAATAACTTGCAGGGGATTAGCAGAGTACTTGGGAAGGAGGAAGCCTAGACTCTTCTTTTCCTGATGACTTTACGCTAGTAACTCACCTTTTCCAGGAAATCCAATGGGCTGCCAGGCTCCAGAAAATGGGGGACTCAGTCTCTTTTGGAGACACTAGAATCATAGAATCATTAAAGTTATGAAAGGCCTTCAAGAGCATCAAATCCAACTGTCTGCCCTACACGCCATAACCATCACCCAAAGCACCACATCTACTCGTCTTTTTAACACTTCTAGGGACAATGCCTCCACCACCTCCCTGGGCAGCCTTTTCCAGTGCATCACCACTTTTTCACTGAAGAATCACAGAATCTGGAGGTCTGAACCTCCCCTGGCACAACTTGACCCCATTTCCTCTTGTCTTATTTCTAGTCACTAGGGAGAAGAGGCCAACACCCACCTCACTACAACCTCCTTTCAGGTAGTTGTAGAGAGCAATGAGGTCTCCCCTCACCCTTCTCTCCTCCAGGCTGAACAGCCCCAGTTCCCTCAGTTGTGTTGATTAGAGCAAGGCTTGGACCTCCAGTGTTTCATTTTTTGGATGGACATCTAATGGTTAGGTTAAAGACTAGTTTCTCACATGTCTCAATAAATACTTAAGCATTTTATTCAAAATGCAACTGGTCCATTGTGGAAGGATTAAGGGTGCAGTCCCAAAATGGCCATTGCCTTGTCAGTCTGGGCATTCTCATAGGATTCTGGAAGTTCTGGTTCCCTCAGGCAGAATCTCATGTTGCTACAGCTCAGATCAAAGTGCCAGTCATTGAACAGTTTAGATGCAAGATGCCACATTCTCAGGAATATTATGAATCCAACAGTTTGCTTTCATTGCATATGGCTAAAACAATAATACTCAAGATGGAATATTTTCTTTCCCATTAAACAAATTAGGAGCAGTTATTATTTTGTCAAAGAAACACAAATTCTACTTATTTAAAGTGAATTTACCATTTATTCTGCTTTTATTTTTATCATTTGCACAGTAGTTCATAGTCCGTTTCAAAGCCTATGTAAAAGAAAGTATTGCCTTTTACTCCATTGAACTTTGGAGCTATCCAGCTATATTGTAAATGTTTGTTAATCTGTTACTAGAGGCTTTTGCTTTTTTTTTAAACTTATGTCACCCTACACTAGAAAACATTATACAGTTCTTTTTCTATTTGCCTGAATTTATTGAGAGCATTAAAATAGCAAATATTTTTATTGGTGCATTGAGATACATTTGTAATTCATAACACACTGTAACTAAAAATATTTTCACCTTCCTGATACAGTGGTCATTAGTGTAACCACATTTAAATGAATGTTCTTGAAGTGTTGAGACATGGAAGGACATCATGTTGTATTAGAATGAAGAAATCTTTGCCTAGTCCATCTTTGAATAATTGAGAGGATTTCAGTCCCACAAAGGTAGAATGAAATCTAGGAAACTAAAACATGTGGCCAATTCCTTCAGTTGTAATGGCACTCAGGAGACATCAGTTCTTTTTTTTTGGTTCTGCTTCTGGTTTCCTGAAAATCTACAGGTAAATCACCTTATTTCCTTGTCGCCAATTCCCCAATTTGTAGAATAAGGATAATTATGCTCATCTCATTTATAGAATGCTGAAATCTTCTCTTGATGATTGCTGTATTACTAACATGTTGCAGGCACGGTGCCTCCGCTGTCTTCGGGAAATTGTGACTACATATTCACAGACTGAAACTCTCCTTCTGTAGTAGCGATGTTTTGATTTCTGCCACATGTCATCATTATTTTGTCTCTCAGGTGAAGTTACAGAGGAAGAAAAGAACCTTAGTAGAACTCTAATGAAGTACTGGGCTAACTTTGCTCGAAACGGGTAAGTATCATGAGTTTCACTACACATATTACTCGTTTGTACTGACTCCAAAGTGAATTAGCTATTGTGTTGATTCAGTCTTAACTGCTGTGATTGAATTCCCTCCTTGACTGAAAAGAGCATTCACTCTTACTTTCTTTTTGCTTCCAGAAATCCTAATGGGGAAGGATTGGCTGACTGGCCATCTTATAACCTAAATGAAGAATACTTACAGATAAATCTACAACAAAAGAAAGGCAGAAAGCTGAAAGAAAAGAAGGTAGACTTCTGGAGAAAGGTGATATTTGAAAAGGCAAATAACCAAAGAATGGAAAACAAGAAGATTAATTCAGAGTTGTAATTTACAGTCTAAATGTGCACATATTAGGCAAACTATTAAGACAGTAAAAGAAATTAAAATAATTATGAGGATAAAATAATGTTTCCCTTCTTTTCACCTTCTTTTTTTTTTTTTTTTAGTTATCATACTTGCAATTATTCACTGTAATAATTCCAACTTATCTTTTTCCCCATCATACTCCTTTACTTCTTCCTGGATACATCTACAACAGAAACCTCACTTGTTAAATACATGTGCCAGATTTCCTGACTGCTCAGGATTTTCTGTCACTTCCTCATGACTGAAGACAGAATGTAGTAGCAAAATTGTTTCAATAAAGTGAAATCAATAAATACTGAGTCTGTAATTAAAACTGCCATTTGATGTCAAGTGTCTAAATGCAGAGATGATGGTGCAGAAGTTTTGGTCTCATTTAGATGCAGAAGTCTCCCCTCTGTGGAAAAAATAAATTGAAATAAAAAATATTCTGCTTGGTAAGTCAGTTTTACAGCAGAGATAGTTTATTTGTGACTGTTGTTATACATAATAGGTAAACAGTAGTGCTGGAATTAAGAGTTCTGTTAAATGTTACAAATAGGAGAAACAGTCTCTGCTACTCATGCTTTCTTTGTTTTAAATTTAGCAATAACTCTCTCAGAAGGATCAGTGTTGATAACATTATTTTCACACTTTCTCTTTTCCATGGTGCTTTACATTGTGCTCTGTTTGTACTGGGTCCCAGGCCTTTATTACTAGGACTGGAGAGGAATTTGTTTATCAGAGTTATTCCAGTGCACTTAACAGCTGACATGCACTTGGACTGCCAAGAAAAGTCTTGAACATCACATTTCAGTGTTGCCTGTATCTTATTTCTCTGCTATGTCTTGGTTGTTTCCTATATCTGGCTCCTAGGCTGCTCCAGCTATCCCAGCCATGTTCCTGATGTTACTGGCACCTCACAGCAGCGTTATGCAGCTCCATAGATCTATGGGACACAAGACTTCTGTTCCTACATCTGTATCTCTGGAAAACTGCAAGGTTGTTTATAGCTAATAATGTCCTACAGCAGCTAAGTGGGCATCCCTTCTTTCTGAATTACTTTATTGGAAGAATTAGGGTGAGACTTCCTACCTCTTGCTGCCCAAATGCTGTTGCTGCTCTGCTGCAGCACAGAGCTCAGTACAAAGGGCAGGAGTCTCCTTGTTACCAGAGCAAATGCTTATGATATCCAGCATGCACTGAGTGTGTACATCTGAAGCTACCTGCCAACAGCCTGCTCCCTAAACAATCCAGTTTAAAGTTGACTGTGATTTACCTTCTAGGGCTGTAAATCACACCTGTGCAAATATACTTGTGGAGATTTGGAGTAAAGTACACAAGCCCAGCCACAGCACACAGGAGTACTAGGTGCATAATATATGTGCTGAACTGATTGAATGACTGGGGTGCTTATGGCCCACTTAGCTGAAAAAAGTGCAAGCAATAAATTAATCTGTAGAAATGCTTCTTCTGGTAACTGAGAGTTCTCATGATATAAAATTGCACAACAGCCTTTCTGGGGCAAGAGCTACTGAGCTTAAAAACAAAACAAAGAAAGGCAGACCCCAAAGCTTATGTGTAACTAAAACAACCTTTTGTTTAGCATGGGCAGAAAATCTCTTCTACTTCTGTTCAGCTTTCTCCTCCCTCTTTTTCATATCATGCTCCAATGATAGATGTGAGTTCATGCTGAAGTCCATAAACCCTCCTGATTTTTCAGAGGCATAAAGCGTATAGTTACCACCCTAATTCTTTTAATATTGGTTCCACATTACAAAAGCTGAAAAATTAGCACTTTAGTGTTGCAAAACTCATGTTGATTTAGGTACAAACCAAACATTCCTGAACATGCAGGACTGCATGACAGGTGAAGTATCCACCCTGCAGTAAAAGCTAAGATTTTTCTAGTATTGTTTTTGTAAAAAAAAAATAAATCTCCTTGTGACAATAAAAACATTTAACTTTTGGTTCAGAAAAAGTACATTTTTTAGGAGTATTGTTTTGGATTTGCTCTTTGTGGTTATATTGTGGCTTACATTGAGATATTAATACCAACAAGAAGTAAACAGATGTAATAAATGAAAAGTGTAGTTCCCTTCCAAGTCTCTTCACTGCATAAGTGCCAGGAGATCTTAAATTCATTCTGAAAGCTGGTGGTCTTACAGCAGCAGGGAGAATCTCCTGGTGCAATGCAAGGCTGTTTTCAAAGCATGTTAGACCACACGCAGAGGCAGTATGAAACTTGCGGGGTTACTCTGCCAGGCAGGATGTCTCCCTGTTCCCATTAACAGCTAAGCTGTGTGTACCTGCCTTGGAGCAGTGGTTCCCAGGCAGGGCAGTTGCTCTGGCTGCTCACAGCTAACTTGGCTCACAGCTTCAGTATCGTTTTTTTCTGTCAGCGTTTGCCTTGCGTAACAGTTTTACCCAACAGAGTATATAAGGCAACATGCTGAGGAAGTAAGTATGTGACTAGCTTGCACAATGGCAACTGGAAAGGACATATCTCTGCTGTCCTTGATTCTCACTGTTGGACTCACAGTGCTGGTAGCTACTGGTAAGCTTAATGAAGGGGTTTTACCTATTGCCTTTCATAAGGAAATAAAGCACATATGCAGCTTTCTCACCTTGGGGAGCCCCAACTGCACTGGGGGAGCTGGGCACCTAACCTTGCTGCATAGGAATTAAATCTGAATAGCAAATAGTTCTTTATTTCTTGTTATTATTTGTTTTCAGTCATTTGTATTACTCACCTTTTTTGCGAGTAGAGAAATTAAATTCCTATACTAAAAGCTTGTCTGCTGAGGTAGAGCAAAGCACAGTACCACATTTGTAATTTGATAGTGAGAACTTTCACACCAATCTTAAACCTAATCTTACCTAAATGTTAACAGCATTCGTATATGACAGACTATTTTCAGATATGTTAGAAGTTTTTATTTTGGCTGTACATACTACTAAGGGTCTGGAGTATGGTTTGTGTATTCACTGACCTTTTCTTAAAAATGAAATGTCTTTTCCTAATGAAAGCAATCTATTGGACTTTAAACTAACAACGTGGATCAAAAAGGACCAAGATCTACATGCAATTCCTAATGTGTGTGGATAGTAAGACAATACATGTGCTATACTTGAGAGAGATTATACATTACCAATCATAATGAAAGCTGAGAAAATGTAATCTATACTGATTAGAGTTTGCTGAAGCCTTATGTATGAAAATTAATTGTTTAAGCAAACAAAATGTGTATATTTAAGTAGCTAAAGCTATTAGGAATCTGTCTGTTAATTACAAATAGACCAATTATATGTTTTTTGTGCTCACATCTCCCTGGACAAAAAGCAGAGCAACCAGAAGTGGAGACCAAATATGGGAAAGTCCGAGGGTACCAATTCAAAGTAGATGCAGCTGAGAGGAGTGTAAATGTCTTTTTGGGACTTCCTTTTGCTAAGCCTCCAGTTGGACCACTGAGGTTTTCTGAACCACAGCCACCTCTGCCATGGAAAGGTGTCAGAGATGCCACTTCCTACCCACCAATGTAAGATGATGAACAAAACACTTATCTTTTAAATCATTTTATATTATATGCAATTCCAGGACGTTGATGTACAGAGCATGCTGAGTCACATGCTTAATAGGACACATAAGAAGTGCAGACCACTTTTAGTCTATATTGTACCTGCCTTGTTCTGTTTGTACTACTGCCCTTGTTTAGTTCCTCAAGCCTAATACCTACTGTTACAACATAAAAAGTTAGTGAAGATGTAAAATAATTATTTTGTGTTTTCATTGAAGTAATTTATAGCCATATGCCTTTCAAGTACACTTCTGTAACATTTTGAAACACAAGGAATCTTATCTGCATGTCACTGAGTACTGCTGTAGACTGACTTATTTTTACAGATGTACTTAACGCCAGGTCAAAGGAAATCAATATCCTAAAAGTGAAAAAAGAAGTTTATGTTCCCTGTTGCAAACAATCTAGAAGTGTATTAGAGATTGATTCCTGGTTTGCACTTTATTTTGGAAGTATAAAAAAGCTACGTGATGTAGCTTTGAGGTTTTAATTACTTCTGCTGTTATGTTTTTATCTCTTCAGGTGTCTACAGGATCAAGCACAAGGACAGTTTTTTTCAGACCATATTACTAACAGAAAAGAAAAAGTTTCCTTTAAAGTGTCTGAAGATTGCTTATACCTAAATGTGTATGCACCCATTTCTACAGCAAAACAGGAGAAACTGCCTGTAAGCAAAATAATTATAAAACCTTCAGCAAAAATTATTTTACAGCAAACCTACAACCCATACTGTATGTAGACTTAGATCAAGTTACATGCTTTGCCCCAGTAAATATTTTCTGCAATTAAAAGATACACGAAATAATATTTTACAAATAAAATTTTATTGTCATTTTAGCTAGGTAAGGTTTGATTTCCTCTCACTGATCTGTGAAAGGTCACAGGGCACTGGTATAATGTAAGTATGTAATAAAAACAATGCCATTTTGTAAGTCTGCAGGCCTCATGTTTTAAAGACTTCAACCATTTGTGAAATGCAATCTGATTCAGGAGTGAAACAGCACAAAATATTGTATTTTGTTTTATATTTAGTTTTTATCACTAGAAGATCTTATCTGTGCTAGGTTGTTTCTGGTTTTGTCTTTCCAGGTCTTTGTATGGATCCATGGAGGTGGACTAGTTTTTGGAGCAGCTTCATCATATGATGGTTCAGCATTAGCAGCCTTTGACAATGTGGTGGTTGTAACAATTCAGTACAGATTAGGTGTCCTTGGATATTTTAGGTAAGATACTTTGTCTCAGATTTTGCTACGAGATTTCCAAAATTACCCTGCAAAGCCTTTGTGAAGAGACATGCAGAATATTTGCTTGTGCAAATAAACTATACATCTCTTAATTAAACATGCAACAGTTGGTTACAATGTGCGAGTTCCAAGTCAACTTCCAAGTCTGTTTCTGTTTGATTGCTACTCTAATCAAAATGCTTTCTGAGCCCTTCATTTTTTAGTTGCCTGGAGAATTTTTGTGTAGAGAATGGCAACTGATTTCTTGTACCACAGGTTGTAGTTTTCTCTGCCTTGTTTCTTGCATTGAGCATTTAAGCAACCCCATTCTTTCCCTGCAGCACTCGTGATGAGCATGCTCGGGGTAACTGGGGGTATTTGGATCAAGTAGCAGCTCTTCAGTGGATTCAGGAAAACATCATTTATTTTGGAGGAGATCCAGGGTCTGTCACTATTGCTGGAGAATCTGCAGGAGGAGTCAGTGTCTCTGCTCTTGTAAGTTCACAGTAATACTGAGTTTTAGTTACTTAGAGAAAAAAAAAACAACCAACACTGTCCACATTCATTTTTGGTACCTGCAAGAAAAGTGAGAGAAAAGGTATGGTTTTATTGTAACTGACACATCACCTTGACCTATTATAGAATGTGATACCAACACAGCTTCTGATTGATGAAAACGTTCTTTTCATACCCAAATCTCATAGTTAAGTCTCAAAATGTTATTACTCACTTACAAAATTAAATTCTTGGGGGTTATTTTGCAGTACCAAAACCACAAACATTTATCCTTGTGAGATAGCTGAACTAGATGTGTGCTTTGTGATGCTCAGTGATGTAAAATTTTTACATCAACACTGAGCCCACTGGCTGAGAGGTTCTTCTCCAGTCTCTCACAATTTGGTACAGATCAGACAGTGAAACAAGAGTCAATACACATATGATAAAAATTCCTGTTTACTAAACTCCTGCCCTCTGGCCAATAGTCCTTTATTACTCTTTTGCAGCACAGCCAGGCTGTCTTGGCCACCATTATATTCAACCCATATCTGGTTTGCAATGTAGTTCCATGAAGTCTTGGAAGCAAGATGCTGTGGGAAAAGGCAGGCATGAGCTTCTTATCCCTGGTAGTGCTGCCTAAGCCCTTAGTATAACTGAGCTATGTTCAGAGGCTACTGAATAACAGTCTTAAGACACTTGTTTTCAAAATGTTTTAAATGGCAATTCCTGATATTGAAATTCTAAGTCAGTGTTCACAATGTAATGCTTGTCATGCTTTTAATGCTTGTTCTTGCTTTTTTACAGGTCTTATCTCCCCTGGCTAAGGGCTTGTTCCATAAAGCCATTTCAGAGAGTGGTACTGCAATCAGGGTTTTGTTCACTGACCAGCCTGAGGAGGAAGCAAAAGTGGGTATTTGTGGCAATTTTCATTATTTTTCCAGATAGTTTTGCATACCTTAAACTGTTTGTTGCAAAATGTAGAAACAGATTTTTTCTTGGGAAACTACAACTGCAGTCATTAAACACAATATTTCTGTATGCAAATAATACATGTTTAATGATGCTTTGCTTTTCAAATACATGGTACATTTATCCATGTATGTTTGAGTGAAAGCAGAAGAGCAAAGAAGCAAAGAGAGAAGGCAGGGAAAGAAGCCATTTCAGAGAGTGGTACTGCAATCAGGGTTTTGTTCACTGACCAGCCTGAGGAGGAAGCAAAAGTGGGTATTTTTGGCAATTTTCATTATTTTTCCAGATAGTTTTGCATACCTTAAACTGTTTGTTGCAAAATGTAGAAACAGATTTTTTCTTGGGAAACTACAACTGCAGTCATTAAACACAATATTTCTGTATGCAAATAATACATGTTTAATGATGCTTTGCTTTTCAAATACATGGTACATTTATCCATGTATGTTTGAGTGAAAGCAAAAGACCAAAGAAGCAAAGAGAGAAGGCAGGAAAAGAGTGTGAAAAATAAAGGAAAACTATAACACGTACTGGCTTCAAAAGTAAAGCTATAATTTTTGGCTAGGAAATGGCACCAGATTCTGAATACTCTTCTCTTCCCCTCCTGTTTTATTCCTGTTGTGTGCAAATAAACAAGACTTTATTAAATTTGTTAATATTTGAAAAGAAGAGCTGACTTCAAGGCGCCCTACCCCCCCCCCTTTTTTTTTTCCATCTAAAAGAAACAGCTTCCCAGAACCTAGATTTGATAATCTGGGATATAAAAGAAGCAACGCTGTGAGGAGCTTTGTCTCTCTAAAAAACTGTTACTCCACACAAAAAGACATCATCAAGAAAGGATTAATATGCTCTTTTTTACCATCTACATGGTTGTTTTCTGACTGTGCATCACTAACTTCTTTATGTCATCCTGCCTTCTCAGCTCAGCATATTATTTACCAGAATGACTATCTTGGTCTGTTTCTGTATTAAAATATTTTGGAGGACTGTGTTTTGTCCTTCTGCTCAGCCCACAGCCTGAAGGGTTAGAAGGGCTTATTGCTCTCTACCTCTGTAACTGGAACGTATCTGGCTTCAGTGATCCTTATGTACTTTAGACTCCCCCTGCTGGACTCTCAGGCTGGGTGGCACATATAGAGCCTTCCATGGGAAGCATATAAAAAATGTTTGTTTTTATTGATTGCAGAGAATTGCTACTGCCTTTGGCTGTGAAAAATCCAGTTCAGCTGCAACTGTTGAATGCTTAAGAGAAAAAACTGAAGAAGAGATAGTACAGACACAAATAAAAACAGTAGGTGAAAGTATACTTCTTGCATTTAAATGACATTTCAAACTGTATCATAACAGAGGATGCTATTTGTGTGTCGGGATAATAGGAGAACTTGAAGTGAAAGTAACATCTGGCTTTCTTCAACTTTTCAGGATTTGACAACACTGCAGCTATGCTATACTTCACTTGAAAAATGTGATCAGGTTACCTCCTTTTCATTCTGTATGGACTTTAAACTGCTCATATTTTGCTATCATGGTCTACCAGGGAAAGGAAAAGAGTGTATGAAACAGCACAGTTTGTCCTTGAGAACCAGAAAATTAGTTAATATAAGGCTTCTGTGTTCCTTTGCAGTTTCAGTACATAAGTTAGTTTTTCCACTACTGCTCCACAAATCCATTATAGGATTGCCCTAACTAAGGAGAGATGTAAATTGGCCCTGGAGGAGGGCCACAAAGGTGATTGGAGGGCTGGAGCCTCCTCTCCTGTAAAGACAGGCTGAGAGTTGGGGTTGTTCAGCCTTAAGAACAGAAGATTCTGGGGACATCTTATAGCAGCCTTGCAGTATCTCAAGGGGCTACAGAAAAGCTGGGGAGGGGCTTTATACAAGGGCTTATAGTGGGGATGTGGGGTAACAGTTTCAAACTGAAAGAGGGTAGGATTAGGGTATATATTAGGAAGAAAATATTTACTGTCAGGGTGATGAGACACTGGCACAGGCTGTTTGGAGAAGCTGTGGCTGCTTCATCCCTAGGCCAGGTTGGATGGGGTTTTGAGCAACCTGGTCTATTGTGAGGTGTCCCTGCCCATGCAGGGGGGTTGGATCTAGATGATCTTTAAGGTCCCTTCCAACCCAAACCATTCTATGATTGTATGATGTTTCACGAACACTACAAACATGCTTATCATCACAGAATCTTCTGCTTAGTGCAGAAAATATGAGAAAATTTAGATAATTCTTGTATTTTCACATAACACTTTATTTTGTTTTTCTTTGGAACTACAGTAAAAATATGAATTTTTTTCTTGAAAAAAAATATTGTGTTTTAATGAAGCTTTTTTTCTTCCTCCAGCCTTCCCTGTTTGTCAGTGCATCTGCAGATGGTGTATTTTTTCCAAAGAGTCCCAGTGAATTGCTATCTGCAAAACTGATCAATGCAGTTCCATATATAATAGGAGTAAATAACTGGGAATCTGGATGGGTACTTCCTACAGTAAGAGACTTATTATGTCATTATTTAGATATCATTTTGTTAAGATAAGTTTTTCTAATAAATCTGATTATATCACGCAGCTAATGAAATTTCCGGCTTACACAGATGGTCTGGATAAAGATGTTGCTCGTCAAGTTTTACAGAGCTTCTTAGCATTACCATTTAAGGTAACAGATTATTTTCAGAATAATCCAGTGCTGCTTCTTCACTGATCAGATTTTATATTTGTACTCCTCGGGAGGGTATATTTTAGAGGCAAACTTTGTTCTGTTTGACAGCTTCCTACCATGAGGTAGAAATGAGCAGCAAACATAGTGTATTCCTGTTGCCACTAGAGATTGAAAATACACTTCAAATTCCTATCCTAAATGCTCCTCCTTTTAAAAAGGACTTCTGTGAAAATGCAGGAGTGATTCAGGTACCTAAACATAGTTCTCTTGTGACACTTGAGATACCCTATGTTACCTAAGACAGGATTGATACCAGCAGGTATGATACAATACCTGCTTGGAAACAGTATCTGGAGACTAGAAAGGATAACCTGAGATTTTTAAAATGTTACTGAGAGACCAATGTTTTGGTATCACGAGTTTTTGCTTCCCTGTAATTTACAAACATCTTAGCTTTCTGGTTCCTTTGTGCTCTCCTGAAACTACTAAATATAGAATAATGGAGATTAAAAGCTAAGAATTAAGCACTCTGTAAACATGACCAATAGTTGCAATGGATGATTCAGTGTGACAGACACCTGTGATGAACTTGGAAAGGCAGAACCCAGGCTTGTTCTGAAAGGGAGTAAATTCAGGTAATCTACTACAATAAATGAATTTTATGAAATCCAACAGGATTTATTTTCTCTCATGAGGGTTATTTCCACAGAAGGGAGAACAAACTACTGTATCTATTTGTAAGCATCACTGACTGATGTTTATCTAAAGATGTGTGATCTTTAGATCTTGCAAACCTCTTTTCCCTGGGAACATCTATAACTGGTAACTGGAACTCCCAGTTCTAAGCTCTGAGCCAGACTCTGGCCCGGTTGAGGATTCTTTCTGAAAGAAGGCAACATTTGGGGGTTAGCTAGGGATGTGCAGGTGGCACACTCAAAAATTGCTGTTACTCTTTATAGTATTGATCATCATTATAAGAAGTTTTTTTGTTGTTATTTTCAGAGTGTTACTTCACAAGTTGTTGATCAAGTATACAATGAGTACATAAGGCAGGCAGAAACCCGTGCCCAGGTGCGAGATGGCCTTCTTCATGCAGTAGGAGACTCTCTGTTTGTTCTTCCAGCCATTGAAGTGGCTAGATACCATAGAGGTGAGTGTCTAACTCAGCATCTACTAAAAGATATGTAGAATTCCATCCTGGGGTGTGTTTATGGACAGTATGTATCACACTTCTTTATCCAAAAACCTGACAGTGTTTTCATTTTATCCATTTCTTATAATGGAAGTTTATCATCCTTGGTGGCAGGTATTTTCAGCTCTCAAACTAACACTTTTCTGTGTATTTTCTACTAGATGCTGGCAACCCAGTCTACTTTTATGAATTTCAACATCGACCAAGCTCAGCAACGGGTGTTGTACCTGAGTTTGTAAAAGCAGATCATGGAGATGAGATTGCCTTTGTCTTTGGAAAGCCATTCTTAGCTGGTGATGTATCCATGATTATTAAAGCATTCCTTTTAACACATAATTATTATTAATTTTACTTAATGGAGGGCTTCTAGAATACCCTTTCTCTCTTAAAAACATTGAAATCAACATAAGCAGTTTCTGTCTTTAGTAGTAGTTACTTTTCATTAAATCATTCATCTGCTGTTCTCTCCTAGAGCTCTTCTCAGGTAAAATTCCCATAGGTCAGAGTAAAATGTTGAGCTGACTACAGTCTATTGGAATTGATAGAGCTGCTACTTTTTTATTATTTAGTTTTTAATGTTGTCTTTTCATCCCTCACTTTGCAGGGTATGCTACAGAAGAAGAAAGTAACCTTAGCAGAACTGTTATGAGATACTGGACTAACTTTGCTAGAAATGGGTGAGAATCATAATGCTAATTGTAGCTCAGGTTTTGTCTGTACTGCATGGAACATAACAGCAAGACTTCCATGATGGCTCCTATAAATGTGGCAGAATTTAAGATAAATATTGAAGCAAATTCTTTCTATTCCTAATCATTGCAATAAAAAAACTTTTAAAATAAAATGCAAAAAAAAAAAAAAAAAAAAAAAAAAAAAAAAAAAAAAAAAAAAAAAAAAAAAAAAAAAAAAAAAAAAAAAAAAAAAAAAAAAAAAAAAAAAAAAAAAAAAAAAAAAAAAAAAAAAAAAAAAAAAAAAGGAACAAAAAAAAAAGAGTGAAGTTGTAGATTCAAAAGGATTGTTAAACATTTGCTATTACACTGGTAAGCACCTTGATTAAAAACCATCCAGCTCTTCTGATACTAAAATCACATAATCTGAGCTCATGTTAGTTTTCAGAACTGCTCTTAGCCTGAGCAGTCAGAGCTCAACTGACAGGCAAAGGGAAAGCTAACTTTTCCTTGTGTTATTTTCAGAAATCCCAACGGAGAAGGACTGGTCCATTGGCCTCAGTATGATCTAGATGAAAGATACCTGGAAATAGACATAGTGCAAAAGGCAGCGAAGAAGTTGAAAGAAGACAAGATAGAGTTTTGGACACGGCTCACAAAACAAATGTTGAATGGAAGGCCAGAACACACAGATTTATAAGAGTTGTGGAGGGTACAGTTTGCTTTCAAAGCCCAAGAAAAGTCAAACAAGATTTGTTCATCATGATGTAGAGTTTAATAATCACCTTCTAACTCACTGTTATGTAATATGCTGTTGTGATCACAGTGAAAGGAGAGAATCAAAGGAAATTTGGAATGTTTGTGAGACTAAAAAAGTATTTAATGAAGCAAGCAGAAAAAAAAACCCCCGCAATCTTTCAGGCTAAAAAAACCCCCATGGTGTCTATTCAGTGGATATCAAAACAGAATAACGCTCCTGTGAGAAGGTAAAATTGACAAATACTGAAATCTACAGGAAATTATCTATGCAGAACATATCACAGGTGTCAGAATATGTTATATGCTTATTCCCCTCTTATTTCAGAAAGGAATGTTGCATTGTCATTCTTTCAGCCTCTTTCCATTTTCTTTAATTAGAAATAGTTTGTAGGGAGCAGAGCATCCATCAGAAAACATCTGTGAGACAGGCTTGACACCTCACAAGTGAGGACAGAAAATATCTGCTTCTTTTCTTGTTTTGTAAACTGTTATAATAAATATTGCTTTTGATTTTTTGGAACTTCCTTTTCTTTCCTTTAACTGATATGGACTAATACTAAGAGGTTACATGACACATAAGTGATACAGCAACCTTTCTAGGAAGTAGAGTCATTGTGAAAGCTCTTATTTTATTTATACGTCGATTTATTAACTATTCAGGAGCATAGCAGCTCACAGAAAACATTGCTTTTACTCTACAGGTGCTGAAATGCCGCCCTTTTGCAAAAGGATTGGACAAAAATGTAGCACTCAAGCATTATAGAGCACTGAACCTTTCACAGTAAGAGCGATTTTAGTGTGCTAATTGACTTTTATGTGATGAGGGTTGGTGCCTCAGACCTGCACTAGCTCCCGCTTTCCCCCGTTTTCTGGGGCACAAACCCTGGGCAGAACTTCCCCGGGTTCTGTGCCGCCCCTGCAGCAAGTGGGGGGCACCGGGCCCGCCGGCGCTTCCCGAGATCCAGGAGCTGCTCCGTGTGTCTGAGGAGAACGAGCTACCCCAGCAGGGTGCGGAGCCCGGAGCCTGAGACAATCGTGTGAAAACTCACAGTAAGATTATTCAGGTTCTGGAGATGTCAGGGATCTCCAGCTCTGCCCCTTTCAGCTCCTGCAGACCCTTTGCTTCCAAGCGGAGCTTTAGCCAGGAGCTCTGAGGCACCAGCTCTGAGTCGTTACGTTTCTTCACACCCTCCCCGCTCTCCCTCAGCTCCCGCCTCAGCCCGGCCGCGCGATCCGCCGGGGCGTGTCCG